GTATAAAACACTTTTTCTTTACCAATCTAGCTGAGTCCATTGTCTCAGGTGCTGAATTATAATGGCTCTTTAGCCAAAACGGGGCTACTGAATAAGAGGAAGGTATCAGCACATGATTTGTTTATATTTTCAAACTATTTATTTCTAAGTTGCCTGTTGCAGCACTTTATCCCAAAGCTTAAGTATTTGGGTCAATGAAGTACTTAGACTTGAATAAAATAAGAAACAATCCTGAGTGGGAAGATTTGGAAACCCTTCAGTAGATTAGGAATATGTAGTTTAGTAGGCCTACCACCATTCTTTATGAAGGAAAGTACTTAACAATCTAGTACATTCCCATTAATTCTGGGACTGCTCATTATTTCCAATGTGCTGGATTTCTGAGCATCCCTTTTCTGTTCACATACAAATGTAATAGCAGAAGAAATAGCAGCGCCTTTTGATCGGAGCCAAACCACACGGCAAAGGCTGGCAGTTCGGGTAGAAGAAAACTGAGCTACTGAAGTGAATGAAATGTTGTTACTAAAGAAGGGAAATGGGTAGGAGCAGAACACAAGGCCATGCTAAAAGGCATTCCAAACTCAGCATTTAGCTGACTTGAATGGGTCCACAACCAAAGTAGGTTAACTTTGTGTTGGTAGATGGCTTTATTTTCTTTCAGGGCTAAATAAGCCAGGAAGTTCCAGGGCCTACTTGCTTTTTTTTGTTAAGGGCAATTGGAAATTTTAAAAGACCATGCTGGAGTTCCATACCTGGAACACTTAATGTAATTTTATTCAGAAATGAAGGGGAGCAATTAATTTATATCAGGGCCATGGCCCAGGGGGAAGAAGTGAACCCTGCATGTATTCTCCAACACACATGCCCTTCATGGTGCCGCCTGAAGCAGATTGTTTCCCTTTGCCCTGCCCAGTTGGGGCAACTGTTGCAAAGGCCTTGCTTTTTCTCAAAGATGCTCTTGCTTGTCTCAGTGTAGGAAGCCTCAACAGGCACTGACAACTGAGCCCAGTGAATTTCATTACCATCTGAATTATATTAGGATGACAGTGCTGTCTGCTCATTTCTAACTGTGTGAGTAACAGCGCAAGTAACCTGTGCAAGTAACAGCATTTGTTTGGATAGGATTTCATGCCTGGTTTGTCTGTATAAAACACAAGCCAAAGGAAAATGAAGCTGATACTGTGAGTACCACCCCCAGGCAAAGGCACTGTAAGGGGATATATTTAGCACATAAAAAGCTTTGAAGCCCAAATATTTGTCAAGGGGGCTGGTTGTCTTCCATGACTGGGACTGATTGCTTGTTCAACAAAGTGCACATTCTGTCTTCTTACGAGTTCAGACATGATATTGCCTGAGGTCTTCTTAAGTAGTAATTGGACCACACAGTCTCCTGTCAGCACAATACTCCCTGTCAATACAATCTAGAGAAGGGCAAAACCTTAGTGGTGTTATTAAAAAAAATGGTGGTCACATTAACATTTTTATATTGGCCACTGCGCCAGAACACCCAAGAACACTTATGCATTCTTGTCTTCTTTGGCATGACCTCCTGCACACATAGCACATGCAAATTCTTTCTCACTCCTTCCTTCATACGCATTAAATTGGTTAGGACACACTAAGAACAATTCCAAGAGAACTCTCTCTGCTACAGTTAGCCTACTGTGGCCACAGTCACATGTGTGTGAATTGGCTCCCTTTCTGGTTTAGCTCACACTCACACCATACATTTAAATCACTCTTATTCCACTTGTGGGGGGGTATGGAGTGTAAGGGAAGGGGTCATACCGGTGGCGGGGGACACATCATGTTCCTTCTGGGGTAGTTTGTCCACCTTTGGTCCCCACCCTGCACTTAGCTCTCACCTGTGGCTCCTAGAAATTGACAGTATGTGACAGTTGCCACACCCCAGGAACTGCTTTGACTGGCTGGCTAAACCAGGTGAGGAGAGCTGATGGGTCTCAAACCCTCAGTGAGTTTGGGACTTCCCCTGCTTGCAAAGACAGGCTCTGGCCAATTGAGCAGATCAGACTAATAGTGGGTCCAACAGTCAAGAAGGTGGTTTCTGCAGTACTGTAGAGGGAAGTGAAGGGCAGATGGGGCTCATCAATCTGGGAAGGTAGCCCATCTAGGGGAAGGAAAACACTGATCCTAAATCTTTGCTGCCTTACAGGATATTTTCGGGAGAACTGCTAAAGGGTTAACCCTACAAAAATCCAGAGTGGAGTCTCTATCACAGTTGGATAGCGCCTTGCATGCTTCTTTCTGGCAGCTCCTGCAGCCAAGTTGGTGTCAAACGTACTGCTCTGCTTCCCTTTGGACCACATCAGCAAGGCTGAGGGGGTGGGGGTCCTGTCATCTGGGCAGCCCAAGGCCTCCATACACGCTGCTAATGCAGCAGTTTGACTGCACCCCCAGAAGCATACTTCATTGTCTTTCGAGACAAACAGATGTCAGCAACAATTCCACTTGAAGTGCCAAGGCTTCTTCCAAATGGGAATCATGGGAACTGTAGTCTTCATGCAACATTTAGCTCCCTTAACAAATGATAGTTCCCAGGATTTTGGGGAGAAAGCCCTGACTCTTCAAGTGGAAGGAGAGTGTATGGTGTGGATGTGACTTAAATCAGACAGAGAGCTAACTCACACAGATGGTAGGTAGTAGAGACAGGCCGTTGGGAACATAATGAAGTGGGTACGGCCAACAGGCACATGCACACACACACACACACACACACACACACACACACTGTTCATGTGATTGGAACCACACAAGGAGGAATGACTGTATAGGGCCACATTCACAGCATACATTTAAAGTGCTATGATACCACTTTAAACAGTCATGGTTTCCCCAAAGAATTCTGGGGGCTGTAGTTTCTTAAGGGTGCTGAGAATTGTCGTCACACACACCCCGAGCTACAATTCCCAGTATGGTTTAACAACCAGTCCCTCTTCACAGGGAACTCTGGGAACTATAGTTTTGTGAGGGGGATAGGTGCCTCCTACCAAGTCTCAGCACCTTTAACAAACTACAGCTCCCAGAATTCTTTGGGGAAAGCCATAACTGTTTAAAATGGTATCATAGCACCTTAAATGTATGCTGTGAATGTGGCCTGGGGCTCCTAATCTGCTCCTTTTCAATGTTTTGTGGCAGTAAACCATCCTGTGTAGTTCACTGCTGCATAATTATGCAAATATGAGTTACGCAGTATTGCATGTTACATTCGTACAACGAAATATGTATGGCTGCAGGCCACCACAACCCACTTGATGTAGAACAGATCAATTGATTTTCACAAGATTGCCCTGGCATAAATAATACTGTGGTGGATCATAGCCAAAGTAACATCAAATGTGAAACCATAAACGAGGATTTCACAATTTGCAATGGGAAAGGAAGACTTTTAACATAAAGGTGCCAATGCCAAATGAAATAAAATTCATTAGCCTTTGAATGCCAAGATCTTTGGTTCACAATGATGTATGAGAACTGTGATGTGCATTACAGAGCAATCTGGCTTCTGAAAGCAAATGTTCAGTAGACAAAGAAATTCAGGAATCCTGAAGCTAACCTGAAGAGACACAAACAGGCTTTGCTTGGGAATGCGTGAGTGCCTCATAACCACTCTCATGACAGGGAGGAGGCTACTCATTTACTTGCTAACTCTTCAGTCACACAGAACTACAAAACCTCTGATCAGAGGTGGATTTAGGGCTGCATGACTGATTTCCCTGCACAGGGTGAAGGGGCCAAGGCGAAGCCTTCCTGCCTCCATCTCCAAGTCTAGTAAGTGCTGGGATTTGGGAAGGAGAAGAAGAAGAAGAAGCGTTTGGATTTGATATCCTGCTTTATCACTACCCGAAGGAGTCTCAAAGCGGCTAACATTCTCCTTTTCCCTTCCTCCCCCACAACAAACACTCTGTGAGGTGAGTGAGGCTGAGAGACTTCAGAGAAGTGTGACTGGCCCAAGGTCACCCAGCAGCTGCGTGTGGAGGAGCGGGGAAGTGAACCCGGTTCACCAGATTACAAGTCCACTGCTCTTAACCACTACACCACACTGGAGGTGTGAGGTCTCTGGCAGAATCCTAGAGTCTTCCTTCTGAAAGCCTAGTTAGCACTTGCCAGCTTTGGGAAGGATGAGGGAGGGCTCTAGGACCCTGCCAGAGCCTTGTGCCTTCTTCCAGAGCCCAGCGTCTCCCTTACCCAGCTTGAGGAATGTGGCTTGGGGTGGGTGTCAAATTTTGGCCTTGCGCAGCATGTCATATTACCACGGTATGTCCCTGCTATGATTTGCACTGTTTCCTGCAAACTGCTATCACCACCACCACATATTTATAATCCACTTTTCGATGAGCATTTCAATCACAAAGTAGGGGGCAGTGAAATAAAAGTCCCCAGTTCAAATCTCATTTCTGATATAAAGTCACTAGGCTTGCAATCCTAACCCCACTTCAGTTGGACTTTTACTTTGGAGAAGATGTGGTTAGGACTGCAATTTAGGTGGCCTGAGGCAAATCGCCTTTCCTTGGGTCTCAGTCCCGCATCTGCAGGATAAGGATGATAGTAATGCTGGCCTAAACTAATTTTGTTAATATTGTTGAGATAGTGCCTGTGAAGTGATATGAATGAACACTTGAACACTTGAATATTATGTATTTCAGACTCATTGGGTTGGATCTAAAAATTCTCCTTCCATTAGACGAATCGTAGAATCCTAGAGTTGGACCACGAGGAAAACTCATTTCATAGGAGAAAGCTCTTCTATTCATGGAAGGGCACAGTTGGGTCCCGTGCCATTGACAACAGATCAGTGGTTCATAAGGAGATATGCTAGTAAGCACAGCAACCTTTACACAGCTAGTCCTCTTCAGGTCCTCCTCATGGTTATTTCAAAGGCAATTGTGAACCATGTATGGATTTAACTGCAATGTTAATTTTTTGCTGATTCTTTAAATTTAGATGCACTTCAGTTTGATAAAGTGATCACTGTGGGTTATGTTCCAGGTTAGCTCAATCGGTAGACCATGAGACTCTTAATCTCAGTCATGGGTTTGAGCCCCATATTGAGCAAAAGATTCCTGCATTGCAGGGGTTTGGACTAGATGACCCACGTGGTTCCTACCAGCTCTTCAATTCTATGATTCTATGCAAAGAAGTTTAGTCAAGTGTGCTACAGTGCTTGTTTAACTGAGAGCAACTACACAAAGCAACACAAGGTAAGCTTACATTTATGAAAATGTCAAGGGTGGCATACATACACACTTTACATACATTAAATGTGAAAGCTGCTCTGATATTCTACTACACAAATATCTAAGTGATCCTTGCGCATCACTAGCTTACTTAATTACACATGAGATTGCTTTAAAAGCCCTTTAACTTATCCTATAATGCTAATCTCCCAAACAGCCAGATCATTTAACAACATCAATATGACAACGGCCTTGTGCTGTGTCTACAATTCGATAGCTTAACTATTTACCATTCTGGAGTCAATTAGTTTGTAATGGGAAAACAAGAAACAAACCAAATCAAGGAGCTGAACTTTAAACTGAGATCTGAAAGCAGCCCCATTTTATTGCTGGGACATGACCAATATAGGAGAAAAGATAGGCCCCCATCCCAAGGAGATTACAGTCCGAAGTCTGACAGTGGGCAGCCAGAAGAGGGAGGGGAGGAAGGGAAATGGAGGCAAGAGAAGCAAAGGATGGATTTGTCATTTATCGCCTGCCCGTTTGAATTTTGCTGGTTCTGTTAGTGTCATGTAGTTTTTATTTTTAGCTGATTGTTTTCATTGAATTGGGTTTTATTTGGTGGGGTTTTTTTATTTTGAATTCTAAGCCACCTTGGTGGTGGGAAAGTAGGCTGTGTTTTATTAACATGGGGGAAAAAATGAAATGTGAGAAAATACAGCTGGTCATATGCTATGCTAGGCATTTAAAAGAAAACTGCCTTCATGCAGTTACCTGGAAGCAGCGCTGCCCCAAGACATTTTGGCACCTGAGGTGAACCACAGAATGGTGCCTCTCTCCCTGCCAGGGAAGAAGGGGTCAATCTGCATCCGAATCTGCTGCCCCTGTGGATCCTGCTGCCCGAGGCAGTCGCCTCATCTTGTCTCATGGGTGGGCCTGGAAGTCAGTCCCACAGAACTCAGTGGGGCTCAGTGAGTAGATATGCAAAGGATGACACTGAATTCCATGCAAGATTGCATGTCGCTGCCATCATCAAGTTTAAAGTGGGCACCAGTTCCTACTAATGCACATCATTACAACACCAGTGTGGGATGTATTCTGGATTGTGGATTCTTGGTGTGTGTGTGTGTGTGTGTGTGAAAGAGAGAGAGAGAGAGAGAGAGAGAGAGAGAGAGAGAGAGGAGTTGACTATGCTTAAATGTGTGATCTTGTGGGAGTAACTGATATGCTGAGCTCAGAGCCCCTTTTGAACTGGACTTTAAATTTTGTTGCTTTTAGGATTGAACACAGGGTGGTGGGGGGGGTTAAGTAAGGAAATCTGGAGAACCGGGAGATGTCACAACATAGATGCTCTTTGGATAAGAGCACCTATAAGAATGGGTAGAGCCAATGAAGACCGAAACCCTATTTGTTGAAAGACGATGTCTTCACTGGATCAGTTTTTCAAAAATCTAAATTTAAGAACCTCCTTTTTCTGAATCTTGAATTGATGAACAAAAGAATTTAGAATTTACCATCAGGTATGAAAAGAAATGCTTCCTTGGAGATCCATTAATTTGTTATTTTAAATTAAAGGAATTGGGGGTAAATTAAGTTCTGAAGGCAGATACAAGGGTAAACTAGTGACTGTCCTGCTTGATAGGCATACCCCACCCCCTCAAAAAAACATTGTTACTTAAACATATAGGGTTTCCAACATTAGGCATAGTCAGAGTAGACCCATTGAAATTAATGGATATGACTATCTCAGGTCCATTAATTTCAGTGGGTCTACTCTAAATAGAATTTAGCAGGATACAACTCATGGTTTCTGTAGGAGTCCTAGGGATCAGAGTAGTTTTCACTGGCCTCCATGTTTCCTGTCAGTCAGCTTGTCATAAGATGTATAGGAAACATTGGTGGTGGGGCTTTTGTTGGGTCTTAAAAACCCATTGCTTCCTCTTTAAGAGAATCTTGGAATTTAACCTTATTTAGAAGCAAAGTGAAATCATAACAACAAAGTACAAGAAAAATGGACAATGAAAACATAACTGCTTATTTTTGATTTTGGGTTAGAACAGGTTTGATAAATTACACGGAAACAGTAAATTAGGCAAAATTTCGTTGGATGGCCTACAAAGCTTTTTGTGAATAGATTCCTCTCTAGCTGCTGAGTGAGCAGTTGCCAATATATCCAGACTCAGAAACCTAACCAACTGGGGCCAATTTTCCAGTCATTTCTCCCACTCGGTTTACATAATTTTAATGCAGTCATCTATCAGCACCTCACAGGATAAAGTCCTCTTACTCTAACTTTGCTGTTATACTGCTCCTCCTTCAAGATTCCCATCCACCTTCCCTCATTCAAGTTGTCTCATGCTGTAGATCAAGCTGAGGAACTTTAGGCCTTCCAGATGTTGCAGAACTGCAACTCCATCATCTCTGACCATTGGCCATCCAAGTTGATGGCCACCAGTAGTTCTTGTGGGGACAAATTTTATAGTTTAGCTATGCACTGTGTGAAGAAGTACTTTCTTCACTGCTTTCCTGTCTGAACTGTGAACCTGTAAATCAAGCAGCCTGATGGAGACCATGTGCAGAAAACAAGTTTGGGCTTGAGAATGCTGTAATCCTGTGCAAATGTAAATGAAATCCCTTATACAATTTAAAGCACACTATGCCACATTCAAGTATGAAAAACTACACCAGGATTTTCCCCAGTGTGCAATAATCACTTTATGGCAGGGGGAATCTGAAAGCTCATTGATTTCAAAATTCAGTCCCTCCCCACCTCACATGTAGAATACCTTAATTACGCTTCCAGGAAGGTGTGCGTAACAATGCGTTATTCATCAACTTGACATGCTGATGATATCATATATGCCTCCTCTGGGATTACATGGTTTAATTGTTTTCTGCTTGGAGGGTGCTTTAAAATGTGGGGAAGCTTTTACTAGCCTCATGAGTCTTGTAAAAATAATAGGACCTTTTTCAAACTTTGCTTCTGATCCAACTGGGAGGGCCTTTTCTACTAGATCTTTGTTTACCTTTTGGGTCTGCTATAGGCAGTCTTTAATAAGGATGAAAGAGTCCATACAATATATGATGGATATTTAATGTAAGAAGTTTTAATGTTTAATGTACATAATATATAGAGGTCCCAAAGTACATTGATGTACAATAATTTAAAGCTACGTTTTGTTTAAGCCTCTGTCAGCATATCGAGTAAGTGTATTTCTGTTGCATGAAAGACACACATCAGGAAGTGTGAAACAAATACAAAACACATTTCAAGTAAAATGAGAAGCAGTAAAGATCTCCATATGTCTGCATAATTAGTCTCATGCTTCCATGGTCCTTTGATTTTCTTCTTCTTCTTTGTCTCAGCCCTAACTGTACACTACTTTGCATGTGCACTGAGCTGAAGAGATGCTGCCATTTTTGAATTGAATCCTGGTGCTCGTTCCTTTTATGTTTTGCCTTCTAGATACAAATACAAGGAATATGCTGCTAGAAATTGTATACCTCTCAATGAACATGGAAGCAGTGAAGAATGCACAGCCGGGTAGGCTCTCAGAAAAATGGGGGGGGGTGGCGGCGGCTAAGGACTGAAATGGTAGGGTGTGTTGAATTTTTCAACTTTCAAATTTCAAAAATGAGGGGTGCTAAAAAGTTGTAACATGACTTGGGAATTCAAAAGATATTTTGGTTAAATTAATATAATTTAGTTTTTCTTGGTAGGTAAAATGTGTGCAAAATTTCACAAAAATAAAGATGGAGATGTTGTTGTTGTTGTTGCCGTCAAGCATTACCTGATATTTGCAGAAGGTAAAATTAAATTCTTTGGTTTTCTGAAAGCAGTCTATGTGCTTCTTCACTAAACATATTTACCAAGCTAAATGCCTTGGTGTGGCATTGTTTCTGATGTCTCCCCCACCCCCAGATCCAGTTCAAGAAATGGTCTGAAAAAGAAGATGGGGGCAAGGGGGAAAACCCCCTTGGCCCATAAAGCAAGACATGACTTTATGACTTGCTATTAATGTTAGCAGCCCACACAGTATTCAGTTTCTATTGTTTGATGTGCTTCTCCAATGTGTGCCATGCCAGTGGAACACTTTGTTTTCCCTATTCACTCGAACTGGCAAATCACATTTTGCGGTCTGTACTCAGTTATGCTAATCAAATCCAGCCTGCTTGTCTTCATCTCTGTTTCAGCTCTAGCTTTTCATATATACATGCCTGAAGAAGAGCTCTTGATAACCAACATTTCTTCAGTGAGGAGCACTACCCTGTCTTTGCTCCAGCCCAAAGGAATGGCAAGAGTGGTGGCTGGTGCCCATTCATAGCTGTCAACTTGCAGATTTGAAAATAAGGGACCAGCAGCCTCGAAAATAAGGGATCAGCAGCCAAAATAAGGGATTTTAGTCAACCAACAGCCAAACAAAGCCTCAAGTGGTAGTTCCCACAGCGCAGCAACCCGGCAAAGGGGATGCAGCAAGGAAAACCACGTCACCTTTCCACTGAGAAGCGCTGATCAAAGGCGAGTCCCCAGGCAACGCGGCGGATTTGATCGGCACAAAGCATGCAAGCTCCACCCCCCAGTCGTTCTTAGACTCCTTATTGGGTGAGCAACACAGCCAAGCAACACAGTTGGAGCCTCCCTCCTCCCTGGCTGGCAGGGAGGGAGGGAGAGGAGCTGCTTCCTTTGAAACCCGGGAAATTTAAGGGACATCATCAATAAGGGACAGCAGCGGGACACAGAGCTGGGATAAGGGACTTTCCCGCCAAATAAGGGACGGTTGACAGCTATGTGCCCATTAGAACTGGCGAGGCAGAAAACAGAGAAGCCAACTCTAAGTGGAGCCAGAGCCAGTGGCAGGCAGGGTCAACTAATTTTAT